ATTTGACGGGATATTTTTGGCATTATGTTATGGGGTGTGGTTCACTAGAACAGAACTGATTTTTTCGCGTTTCGCCCACAGAACATTTTTGTTGCAAGAACCTCAGATCCACCGCAGATCATGAGTGGATCTGAAGATTCTGCAGCAGAAAATATTTCGCGCAGCGAAACGCGAAAAGGTCGCGGCGCAATGTGGCTCGGGGGTTGGGGGTGGCAGCCCGTAATATTTTCACGAAAACTTTCATTTTTGGGGCTATGCTTCGAAGGAGTAGAGGGGATCAGAGTTGCGTAAGCAATTCCCGTTCGCTCCAGAATTCGTCCCTCTGCGTTAGGCTCAGTCTTAGTGGCTTCTGACAGACTGGCCCCCTCCCCGGTGGCACATTGCGCCAAGGTCGTTTTCTGTCCTAGTGAGCCACACCTCAAAATTGCACTTTTACAACCCCAGTGGGAGTAAGATGGGGCAAAAAATATTTTTCGCTAACTCCTAGGGTGTGGTTTACTAGGATAGAGAGCGAATTTGATGTTATCTTAGGCTGCTTTCATAGTCTGCACCGTCGCGGACCGCACGGGCCGTGCGAACGGCGTCCGCGGACGGCGCAGACTATGAAAGCAGTCTTAGTTGGGGGGACAACGCGGCGGCGCGGCGCTCTGTTCGTCTGCTCCTCCAAGGCTTAGTCCGATGGCGCGTATTTCGAAACTGCCACGTGATGGCGAAATAGTAACTGCCCCTGGGACTAAGCCTTGGAGGAGCAGACGAACAGAGCGCCGCGCCGCCGCGTGGATCCCCCTCCGCCCAACTAACTGGGGAAGGATGATTTGAAACTAGTTACATATGCCTGTGAACCGAGCTTGTATTGTGCACATGGCTGGCACAGAAGGAGATGGCAAGCGCTGCTGTTGAGAGGGACGTGCACTGGCGTGTGTGCCATTTGGAGGTGGAATCCAAAATCCACAAAATGGCTGCAAAGTGCCCGAAACCAGGAGAGAGCGAATAGACAACAGTGAAGCAGGAAATTCAAATCCCAATGTGGGCGGAGTTTGGGCGAAAGATTTCGGCTGCCTTGTTCAATATCGCTGGAGCGCGATAGCGGACATCGTTAGTTTGCGGAGCTAAATTGGAATAGGTACGAACAGCAGTTTGAACAGCGGACAATCAGAAGATTTTTTGAACTTACAAGGGAAGGATGGTAGGTCGAAGTGGCCGTTCGAAATGAAATGTATACCACCTGATGCGTCTCCAGACGCTGATTCCAAATCTGCCTTCCAAATCTGCTAAACGACTCTCCGAACGGAGTTATGAAGCGTAATAGCTCAGTGGTGATGGTCCGGGGTGGCAGGTAAAAGCTCGTAGGATCGGTTCCTTTGCAAATTGGTTGCTTTGCTTTTGTCTCTAGAAGTGTTGCGGACAAAAGCAAAGCAACAAACTTGCAAAGGAACCGATCCTACGAGCTTTTACCTGCCACCCCGGACCATCACCACTGAGCTATTACGCTTCATAACTCCGTTCGGAGAGTCGTTTAGCAGATTTGGAAGGCAGATTTGGAATCAGCGTCTGGAGACGGTATACATTTCATTTCGAACGGCCACTTCGACCTACCATCCTTCCCTTGTTAGTTGAGGGGGGGGGGCCACTGTCGGCAGGACAGATCGGGATATACGCAGGATTCTCAGTCCGCTCACCTGCGCTCCGTGGCGCTGCATCTCTATAGCGTTGCAGAACCGTGTACGTATACTCGAACACTATATCCAGCTACATTCACAGGATCACATGTCAACACCTCTGACTAGCCCCCCACGAAGTCCTTTTCCCCATTAACTGTCTGTGCCTAACCCCCGCTAGACTGCCTCCTCCAATAACATGAGACGCACTTCTATCCCCCCTGCCTAACGGTTCCGAACCGTAATAGGCCAAGAAAATACAGCGAACAGACTGGCCTCGCGCCGCCCGCGCTGCCCACCGGGCCATGCACCATTCCTAATGTCTGTGGTGCGCCTAATCCGCGGTGGCAGTTTGAAATTCTGTCCTCGCGTACCCCCCCCAACTAAAAAAAGTTAGAGCATCTCAT